ATTGAGTGACCGGGGCATTGAGTGACCGGGAGAGTGAATGCCTCCTGCTGGAGAAAGTCCATACTTACAAAGGCAGACAGCAGCGAGGAGTCTCGAGGCGATGTAAGGGGGCACACAGGCTGGGAACACTGGCTGTAGCACGTAACTGGAGAAGGTCAATGCCATCACGGTTTGTGTGGTCGGGTTTATGACCAGCAGGGCACTCCACAGGACCAGGAACCTGGAGAAAGAGGAGACACGAGTTTGGTGTCATCGCAATGCACCAACACAGAGAGGGGGCAGTGCAATGCAACAGGAATGGAGAGAGTTAGTGCCTGTTCAATGTAGGTATACAATCAGCTGGTTTAATGACCCTTTAAGTTTTAATAAGGAAAAGTGTTACAAAATAAAAGGAAAATATATCCCAGCAATATTTTTATTTCAGGGAATGTTTCTCAGTTATTGCTGAGTTTCCCAGAGATTAATCGTCAATTTTTTGGCAGTTCAAGCCACTCCTATAATGTTGCCGAATGAGTCCTGTGTTTGGGACAGAGAGAGGGGGCATTGTCCTCAGGACCCTCATGTGGCTTTGGGAGGAATCAGCTCATCCTACAGATGATCATGGAGCAGGTTTGATTTTAGAGCAAAGCCGGTGATTGGGGTACGGTGAAACAGTAAGGTCTTTGTGCTGTGCTCACTGAATTCTGCCCCTGTCCCATCCCATAGCCGGCGGGATTGACCTATGTATCTCCCTGTGTAACTGGGTGGGTGATGGGGCATTGTCATCGTTCACAACATCACTGGATGGGCTGGGGGGAGGTGGCAGTAGAGAATGCTCAGCCAGAGTCCCTGCCCCAGATGACTATCCGATAAATTCTACTGTGTGGTGCCAGTGTGATGCACCATGCAGTGGATCAGCCTATCTCAAACATAGAACATGCACTTCAAACCGCACCTCAGAATGGTTGGAAGGATGAATCGGTATTCCTCAATGTTGAGCAACACTTGGAGGAAGCACTGAGGATGGCAAGGGCACAAAATGTCCTCTGGGTGGGGGATGTCAATGTCCACCACCAAGAGCGGCTTGGCAGCGGTACTACTGATCGAGCTGGTCGGGTCCTAAAGGATATAGCTACTAGACTGGGTCTGCAGCAGGTGGTGAGGGAACCAACAAGAGGGAAAAACATACTTGACCTCATCCTTACCAATCTCCCAGCTGCAGATGGATCTGTCCATGACAGTATCGGTAGGAGTGACCATTGCACAGTCCTCATGGAGACAAAGTCCCACCTTCACATTGAGAATAACCTCCATTGTGTTCTGTGGCACTATCACCGTGCTAAATGGGACAGACTTCACACAGATCTAGCAACTGAAAACCAGGCATCTGTCATAAGGTCATAGGTGTGGATATTTGCTCTTGATTTCACAATGTTCAGCACCATTTGTGACTCCTTAGTCCATGTTCAATTGCAACAAGATCTGGACAATATCCAGGCTTGGGCTGACCAGTGGCAGGTAAATTAGTGCCACACAAATGCCAGGCTATGACCTTCCCCAATAAGAGACATTCTGACCACTGCCCCTTGACATTCAACGGTGTTACCATCACTGAATCCGCACTATCAACATCCTGGGGGTTACCATTGACTAGAAACTCAACTGGACTCACCACATAAACACAGGGGCTACATGGGCAGGTCAGAAGCTGGGAATACTGTGGTGAGTAACTCACCTCCTGACTCCCCAGATCCTGTCCACCATCTACAAGGCACAAGTCAGGAGTGTGATGGAATACTCCCCACTTGCCTGGATGGGTGCAGTGCCAACAACACTCAAGAAGCTTGACACCATCCAGGACAAAGCAGCCGCTTGATTGGTACCACATCCACAAGCATCCACTCCCTCCACCACCGACGCTCAGTAGCAGCAGTGTGTACTATCTACAAGATGCACTGCAGAAATTCACCAAAGATCCTCAGACAGCACCTTCCAAACCCACGACCATTTCCATCTAGAAGGACAAGGGCAGCAGATACATGGGAACGCCACCCCCTGCAAGTTCCCCTCCAAGCCACTCCCCACCCCGACTTGGAAATATATCACCGTTCCTCACTGTCACTAGGTCAGAATCCTGGAATTCCCTCCCTAAAGGGTCAACCCATAGCACATGGACTGCAGGTCACCCCCAACTTCTCAAGGGGCAACTAGGGACAGGGCAATAAATACTGGGCCCAGCCAGTGACACCCACATCCTATGGATGAATTTTAAAAAAATCCCTGAACACTGCAGATATCCCAGCAATCCCCAAGTACTGTGAAAATTCCCAGGTACCCTGGTAATCCTCCGAATACAGTTTTGACATAGGTGTAGTCTCCCCCAGACTTGGTGATGGTCACTCCGAGCTCAGCGTAACAAAGGGAACCAATCACAGTGACAAATCCAGCTAGTGTCCAGATGATAAGAGCCAGGCCCACAGAACCAGCATGCTCCAGGACTCCTTTTGGGGAGATGAAGATTCCAGAACCAATGATATTCCCTGTGGAAAGGACACAGAAGTTATAATCATCAAACATTCACACTCTGTTGCAGCACAAGATGTGGCCTTCTGCCCTCTCACTGCTGGTACTATCTCGAATTGAGGTTCCCCATTAGGGGTTTGGGTGGTGAAGAAGGCGTTTGGCATGCTTGCCTTCATTGTTTAGAACATTGAGTAAAGGAGTGGAGGTCATGTTGTGGCTGTACAGGATATTGGTGAGGGCACTATTGGAATACCGCATCCAATTCTGGTTGCCCTTCTATAGGAAGGATGTTGTTAAACTAGAAAGGGTTCAGAAAAGATTTACCTGGATGTTGCTGGAGGTGGAAGGTCGGAGAAATAAAGGTTGGATAGTCGGGAACTTTTTTTACTGGAGCCTAGGAAGCTGAAGGGTGACCTTATGGAAGTTTATAAAATCACAAAAGGCATGGATAGGGTGAATAGACAAAGTCTTTTCCCCAGGGTGGCAGAGTCCAGAACCTCTGCATTTGTTATGCAAGCTCAGTTAGTCCAGTTAATGTTGTTAAAAACTAACCAGTGGCTAGGCCAAGGTCTATTCTCTGAGCAGTACAGAGTCAGAGGAAGTGAGGTCACTCTCAGGATCATTCTGACTGAATGCCAGGATTGGTTGGAACTGAAGGCAGTCCCTTTGGACCAGTCCTGGGGCAGCTCCTTAACTAGAACTGAATGATCAGAGCTGGGTTGCTAGGGGCTTCTCGCAAGGAGCTATTAAGAGTGCAGATGCCAGGGCTCCTGGCTCTGCATACAGATGATGCTGAGGGCCCTTGGCAGAAACACCATTCAACATTGACAATCAAGACATTTTTCTTGCAGTTCCTTGTCTGTGACAGAACTGCTCACTGAGACTCACAGTGTTACACTCTTAATTCCTATAAGGCCACAGGGTAATCCTGAGCCTTGATTTACCTCAAATAAATTTCTACAATGGGTTTTCTGAGGCTTCCAATCAAATGAGAAGAGGCCATTCAGTGAGATCATGGCTAATCCATCCCTGAACTGCACACACCTGCCCTGACCCCACACTCCGTAATGCAAACACTGAACAAACTCAGATGTAAAATTAACAATTCATTTAACATCAGTTGCCATTTTCCAAAGAAAATCCCAAACTTCCATGTTTCTGTGTGTTGAAGTTTTTCCTCATTTTCCTCGTATGGTTGAACAGCCAGTTCCTGTTCCCATGTTCCTGAAAGGTCTGACTTTAACTTTCAACAATGCCCCTTTGTCCTCGACTCCCTGACCGTTGGAAATCGTTTCTCTTCATCCACCCGGCCTGCTTCCTTAATATGTTGAAAAGTTCAATGAAATTTCCCTGTTAACCTCCTCCTGCCTGGAGACCAAACCCTTTTTTCCACAATCTCACCTCAACATTTAACCCCTGCAGCCAGTCTACCACTAGAACAAAGATCAGCACAGCACAGGAACAGGCCCTTCAGCCCAGCAAGGCACCACACATGATGCCTTTCTAAACTGAAAACCTTTTGCCCCTGTGCAGTTATATCCCTCTGTTCCCTGCCTATTCGTATATCTGTCAGGATGTCTCTTAAACCTTGCTATTGTATGCACCTCCTCCACCCCCCCCCCCCCGGGCAGCACATTCACTTACCACCCACTGTGTAAAACAACTTGCCTCTCACATCTCCTTCAAACTTTCCCCCTTTTACCTTAAACCTATGACCCCTGGTTATTGACATTTCTACACTGGGAGAAAGACTCTGACTATCTGTTCTATCCACACTTCTCATAATTTTGTAAACCTCTATCAGGAAGCTTCTCAGCATCTGATGTTCAAGTGAAAACTAACCAAGTTTGTCTAATCCCTCCTCACAGCTAATACCCTCCAAACTAGGCAACATCCTGGTAAACCATTTCTACACCCTCTCCAAAGCCTCTGCACCCTTCTGGTAGTGTGGTGATCAGGACTGTACACAATATTCCAAATATTGGCCGCCCAAGTCTCCAGCCTATCTATATCCCTCTGTATCCTCTGGCCAATCTCCTCACTATCTGCAACTCCCCAAATCTTTGTGTTGTCTGCAAATGTACTAATCAGACCACCTGCATTCACCTCCAAACTATTTATATATGTTCCAAATAAGAGGGGTTCCAGCACTGATCCCTATGGAGCACCATTGGTCACAGATCCCCAATCAGAAAAATACCCTTCCACTGCTACTCTCTGACCAGTTCTGTGTCCATTTTACAAGCTCACTGTGGATCCAATGTGACTTCACCTTTTATATTAGCCTGCCATGAGGGACTTTATCAAAGGCCTTGCTAAAGTCCATATGGACAATATTTACCTCCCTGCCCTCATCAATCATCTTTGTCGCTTCCTCAAAAAACCCTATCAAGTTTGTGAGACAAGACCTCTCCAACCAAGCCATGCTGCCTATCGCTAATAAGTCCCGATTTTGCCAAATGTGAGTAAATCCTGTCCCTAAGAATCTTCTCTGACAATTTCCCTACCACTGACTTAAGGCTCACCGGCCTGTAATTTCCCAGATTATCCTGTTGCCCTTTTTAAGCAAAGGAACAACGTTGGCTACTCTCCAGTCCTCTGAGACCTCTCCTGTGACTGAACAGGACATGAAGATTTTGTACAAGGTCCCAGCAATTTCCTCTCCTGCTTCCCTCAGAATTCTGGGATAGATCCCATCAGGTACTGGAGACTTCGAAACACCCAACACCTCCTTTTTTATATCACCATGCCCTAGAATATCAACCTTTCCTTTCTAAGACTCACCATCCACCATGTCCTTCTCATTTGTGAATACTAATACAAATATTCATTAATGACCTCATCCACTTCCTCCAGCTCCAAGCATAAATTCCCTCCTTCATCCTTGAGTAGACTTACCCTTTCGAGCTACACTAGTTACCCTTTACTGCTTTTATATATGTATAAAAAACTTTAGGATTTTCCTCAATCTTGTTTGTCAAAGTCATTTCATGGCCCCTTTTAGCCCTCCTAATTCCTTATTTGAGTTCTATCCTGCTATCTTTGTATTCTTTGAGGGCTCTGTCTGACCTCAGTTTCCTAAGCCTTATGTGTGCCTCCTTTTTCTTTTTGACTAAGCTCACAATTTCTCTAGTCCTCCAATGTTCTGAATCTTACCTTCCTTACTCTTCATTTTCACAGGAACATGGTTGTGCTGCACTCGAATCACCTGGTCTTTAAAAGATTCCAATATGCCAGTTGTGGATTTACCCTCAAATAGCAAACCCCTCCCAATTTATATTCCCCACTTCCTGCTGAACACTGTGCTAGCTGGCTTCCCTCAATTTAGTTCGTTTGTCTGAGAACTATGCCTACCCTTATCCCTAAGTAACTTCCCAGTGAAACTTCGATCACCTGGTCGAGCACATTCCCTTTCCCTATTTGGGCTATTCACATATTGTTTCAAAGACCCATCCCGGACATACCTAACAAATTCCCCCCCATCCAAGCCCTGGCACTAAGCAGATCCCAGTCAATAAAGGGAAGTTAAAGTCACCCACCACAACAACCCTGTTGTTTTCCAACCCTTGTTTTCATAACTTTTCATCATTTTTCCATAATCTGCCCACATTTCTTTTCCTCTATATCCTGCTGGCTGTTTGGAGGTGTTTAGTACAATCCCATCAAAGTGATTACACCTTTCTTGTTCCTGTGCTCTCCCGACATGGCCACACTGGATGAGCCCCCCTCCCAAGGTGTCCTCCCTGTTAAGGTCACAGCACCTCTAAGACTGATGTTATTGTCATCATGGGGACTGCCCAGAGCAGTTTCAGGTGTGGTCTAACCGAGTAGTGTGGGAACAGTCAGCTGGACTCTGGCCTCTGCCTTCCTCATTCTCTCGATATAAAAACCAGCAATCCACTCACTAATTCAACCACATCTTCTGGCTGGGTCAGCGTTTATTGCCCACCCCTAATTCCCCAGAGGGCAGCTAAGGCTCACCCACATTGCTGTGGGTCTGGAGTCACATATAGACCAGGTGTTTCCTTACCTGAAGGACACTGGTGAACCAGACGGGTTTTTGTGACAAATGGCAATGGCTCCATGGGTACTAGTAGACTCTTCCAGATTTTTACTGAATCCAGATTGCACTACGGCAGGATTTGTCCCACATCCCTAGAATATTGCCTGGGTCTCTGGATGAATAGTTGGGGGATAACACCACTAGACCATCACCTCCCCAACCTCCTCCACTATTTCCAGCTTTTCACTTTTTGGAACATACCTTATTCGATTCTTTTTAACTTGAATTTGAAAATGCTCACGTGTCTCAATTGAAATCCATTTGCCACAGTTCTGCCTGTTCATCTGTCAACACCTCTTTGCAATTTTGCATTCTGTCCATATGCTTATATTGTGACCTCTCTTTGTGCTTTTAACAAATACGGATGTGTTGCTCTCTATTCCATGACTGAAGTCATTAATGAATAGCAGTGAATAGCTGCAGCCCCACCACAGTTCCTGGGGAGACACTGCTAGTCACATTCTGCCAACTAAGTCCCAGCCCATTATCCTTACACTGTCATCTGACACTCAGTCACCTTCACCAGAAACACAAGAAGCAGGACAGGAGGAGGCCATTCATTCCTTTGAATCTGCTACTCCATTTGTTGAGATCATGGCTGATCTGACTATAACTTTGACTGACCCGTCCATAACCCTCACTTCCCTCATGGATCCAAACTCTGACTGACTCAGCCTTGGATGCTCCAACCTCTACTGCTGCCTGGGGAAGAGAATCAGAGACTAACTACTCATAGAGTCATACAGCACGGAAACAGACCCTTCATCCAACTCGTCCATGCCGACCAGGTTTTCTAATCTGAACTAATCCCATTTGCCTGTGATTAGCCCATATCCCTCTAAACCTTTCCTACCCATGTACCTGTCCAAGTGTCTTTTAAACGTTGTAACTGTACCCACACCCACCACTGCCTCTGGAAGGTTGTTCCATATTCGCACCCTCCTCTGTGTGAAA